GATGTATTTGGGGGAGGGGGTCGGCGTGGATTTGGTGGGGGGGGCAGCAGGGATGGCCTGTAGCACCCCTGTCCCTCCTCCTCCAGTTGCATCTGCCCGGGCTGCACCAGGACTCAGCAAGACTTTCCTCCCAAGTGCTTTAGCTCAAGCTGCCAGGTTAAAGCTTCCGTAAATCCTGGTAGAGTTTGCATCTGCGGCTCCCATCAAATCCGGCTTCTAACGATACGGGCACTATCCTGCCCCGGCCAGCGCGGGGGGGAATGCCTGTGCAAATTGGGTGGAGGGGCCGGGCTTGCAAACTGTGCCACGGGTCCGGCCCTCTGGTCCCTTCAGCATCCTAAACATTGCTGAGGTTTGCTTGTATCAGGGCAGGAGCTGGTGCTGAGGGGAACCCGTGCTGGAATTCCTTCAGGAGGTTTCCCTCTGATGTAGCTCTTTATCCGAAAAGCGTGCCTGCGGTCCGGAGCCAGGCTGTACGGCTCGGGGCAGCTCCGCTGCTGGTGTGTAACACGGGCCGTGCTTGTTGGAAGGTTTGCAAGTAACAGCAGTTACGGGCAGGACAGACGGGTGTCTGTCGAAGGGAGGAGGACTGTGGTGGTGTCGGACTATGGACAGGGCAAAAGGAGGAGTAAAGCTGTCTGGTGCATGCCCTGGAATGGTGTCACTTGTGAACGGTGCAAAGAAAGACTAAAGTGATGCCAGGGACCAGATGCCATCCCTGGAGAGTGCTTGCTTTCACCTCAGGTAATTGTGAAGGAGGACAGGGGAGGAAAGCGCATACCCTTTGCAGTGTAAGATCTCGTTGGACCTTGCACGTTAAGGCTGAAAGCCAGGGCAGGCTGCAGCTGAGGCGAGAGAAGTGTGGGAAGGTGGATGGTGCTGCTGCTGGGAACATACCTGCCCGTGGGGACACCTTGGGGACTTCAATCTCTATTTGCATTAACTTCGTAATATTTTAGCATGAGCGTTAGGGCTATTTTCTTGCTTAGATTATCCCACTGGTCTTTTATAAAGCCGCCCCTCCTTATAGTTGTGCTGTTCCAGCTCCATGGGCTTGCACTGTGAGAGAGAAGAGCTGCTCTGCGATTTATCGGTGATTGCAGCTCGGCAGTGGGTAAACCAAGGAGCTGCCGGGAACTCAGACGGGGCAGCCGGGCACGTTCACCAGCACTTAGGCAGACGGGATGCTGCTTGGGCTGGCAGCGCTTTTCCGACAGAAAGTGCCAGGAGAATTTGGCCTTATCTGGATGGGAAAGACCTTGGTTTCATCTCCCTTCTGAATGTAGGTGGCACCTCTAAATGTGTGACATCTCCCTACAGGCGCTGCTCTAGGGGGGCACGGGGCCGGCGTGCAGCCGGGGGATGTGGCTTTCCTGCTCGGAGAGCGGCAGCAGCGGGTGGCACCGGGGGACGCATGGGGCAGCCGCATGTCCGGAGGAGTTGTGATTTCTGATTCATTTAGATTTTTACATTTTTTTAGGTTATTCTTTAATTCAGAGTTATTATAATGTTACTGTACTGTAAAAATACTGAATTTTAATGTCTTTTCCCTGGGTTTACGTTGCTCTCTTCTTGCAATGTCAGGACAGTAGTGGCAGGGGACAGTAAGGGGCAGGCAGTGTCTCGGAGCAGATCCCAGCTCTTCCAGCCCATTGCATGAGGTTACCAGAGTTAGACTGATGGTGATACACGAACGCCTGTCCCACCGGGGCACAAGCAGCTTTGTGTGACATTATTGCTTTAATTTGCAAGGGGATGGATGTGCTCTCTTCTTGCAATGTCAGGACAGTAGTGGCAGGGGACAGTAAGGGGCAGGCAGTGTCTCGGAGCAGATCCCAGCTCTTCCAGCCCATTGCATGAGGTTACCAGAGTTAGACTGATGGTGATACACGAACGCCTGTCCCACCGGGGCACAAGCAGCTTTGTGTGACATTATTGCTTTAATTTGCAAGGGGATGGATGGTC